TTACGCCCTGCGCCGGCTGGGCATGCCCTCTCCTTACCTTTTTCCTTCCTCCGTGATAAGAGAGCTCTTAGAAAGTACTTGCACTATTTTCACGGCGTGAAAAAATTTTCTCTTATGTGCGAGGGGGGTGATATGACGAACAGGACAGGCGTGTCAGATGAAAGAAGTGTTTTGGCAACGTCACGGAGTGAGCTGATGTAGAGGATATTGCTTCACAACCAATCACAAGCTGTGCCTGTCGGCCAAGCCGTCGTCTGCTCGCGTTTGTCGTCTGCTTCGATTAGAGCATGCGACAGGGGATTCGCCTTCGCAACGCTATTATTCTCAGGTCAAGTGGTCGCTACGTCGCACAAAATACATGTCAGTGGCTCACTCTACCTTTGAATGATGTTCGTGCGCCAAGTTAAATGGCTGGTAATTGACGCAGGGATGAATTCAGCCAAGGTTTGCTCTAGAATCGTGAGGGTTTGCATAATTTTGGTGTCATACAAAGTTACTAGGGTCATTTCATTCCAATTGCTTGCCATAGTATCACGGTCCATATCGGTGTCTGAACAGTGAAGGTGAAGATGCATGATTTGTTTGTAGTTCCATGCGTAATCATGCGCACCCCTAATACGCTTTGGTTTACAAAGTACGCTTTGTTCCAGATCGTCCCAAAGTGTATCGACAGCTGTATTTCAGAGATCGCAACCATTGGACAGTTAGAGCCAATGAAAGTACACTAGAGCACAAACTTTAGGAACCACTCACTGAAAACTTCCTCTCATTTTTATTTCCAATAGCGTGCAAAGAATGTGCTCCCATTAACCTCTTTGGTGGTAATTTCCACCAATGAGGCAAGGATCTCGAGTCGCACTTTTAATTGGATGAGATGGGGCGCAACACAACAACATAACAAATAAGGTTGATCCTATGCCATGTCGCGTTCGAATGCACCGACCATTCACGTATCACATTGGTTTTCATCCAACCACAAATCTTTACATGCGTAGTTTTATGCCATTGACGCCCAATAGAATTCTTCAATTACTGCGACTTCTAACTTATTGGACGATGGTGGTTGTCAACACCATCCACTGCGTACAAGGGAAACAACACGCGAAGCTCAAAGCGCCGAAAGAAATAAAAACGCACCAGCAGTCATCAGGCAGCCCTTGATGGGCGTGAATTAACTCAAAACCAGCCAGGGCACCAAAGTATACCGCTGCGGCAGCAGGTTCTAAGTAGCCACATTGTTCCTAAGAGTGGTCCGGACCACTCTTGGGATTTTCTCTCAGCCATGCTGTTTTTACGCACAATTTTGCTTCGTGAATCCACTTACGAGCACTTTTCGGTGACGTAAGCAAATATAGCAACTGCATCACCATCGCTGACATGTTCCCGGGCAGTCACAGCGCGCTTTATTTGGAGCGGCCGATGTGACAACTATGGCCTCTTACGACGTTTTTTCGTTTCGTGAATCGACTTACGCAAGAAAATTTCTCTTGCGCAAAAATGTTTTCGTAAGTGAGTTTTGTGAATCCGGGCCCTGAAGAACATTATTTGATAAGAAGGTTTCAGATGGTAAGGCATTCCAATCACTTATGGTGCGCGGGAAAAAGGAATGTTTGAATTTGTTTGTGCGTGCAAAAATCGAGTTAAATTTAAAAGGGTGAAAGTTCCTGGTGGGTCTATGGGGCAAAAGGTTTAGATAAGGAGCGGGGTCGAGTGCAAGTTTACGGTTCCAAAGCTGATAAAGAAATTTTAGTCTTGTTATTTTACGGTGGCTCTGTAAGGTCATGATGTTGTTTGTTTGCATTAAAGAGGTAGGCGAGTCATGTCGGCGGTAACGATTATATATGAACCGTACAGCCAGCCTCTGAATTTGTTCAAGTTTGTTAATGTCTTTTTTATTGAACGGGTCCCAAACGATACACGCGTATTCAAGACGAGGCCTGATTAGCGTGTTATATGCAAGAAGTTTAACACGGGAGGGGGATTTTTTTAGTTTGTGACGTAAGAGGCCGAGCTTACGCCGAGTTGATGCACAGATTTTGTCGATATGCATTGACCAGGTTAGATTATTTGTAAATGTTAAGCCGAGATATTTAAAGCTATTGGTTTGAGAAATTTCGACTCCCTTTACAGAGTAATTGAACATAAGAGGACATTTTTTTAATAGTTATGCGCATATACACCGTTTTAGTTTGGTTAAGCTTCATTCCCCAAATGTCGCACCAATTAGATATTAAATTCAGGCTGTCGTTGAGGGTAATTTGGTCATTAGTTGATTCAACAGCTCTGTACAGAAGACAGTCGTCCACAAATAAACGAATAGCAACGCTTTCGTGCACACAAGAGGTTATGTCGTTTATATATACCAGAAATAATAAAGGCCCCAGGACACTTCCCTGAGGCACTCCGGAGTTAACTGATCCAAGATCTGAAACGTGACCACCGACATCAACAAATTGTTTTCTATGTTCAAGGTATGAGGCAATCCACTTTATTAAAAGATGCGGGACATTAAGTGTATTAAGTTTATAGAGAAGACCTGAATGCGAAACCCTGTCGAATGCTTTGCTTAGATCTAGGAATACTGCGTCAACTTGGCCGGACTTGTCGAGAACTGAAGAAAAGGTATGCACAATAGAAACGAGTTGAGTGGTAGTAGATAGGCCCTTACGGAAACCATGCTGGAAGGGTGTTAAAATATTGCGGGAATTTAAAAAGTCGACCAGATAGTTGGAAATAATATGCTCCATGAGTTTGCTGCATGAATTGAGAAGCGAAATAGGGCGATAGTTAGTAACGATGGCTCGATCGCCAGTTTTAAAAACAGGAACTGTATGCAATACGCCACTTGGCGGGGACAACACCTTCAGAAAAGGAAAGACGGAATATAACAACTAGAAATTTAGCTATGGATTCGGCATACCGATAGAGAAACATGTTTGGAATCTTATCAGGGCCTACAGAGGATTTCAATTTAAGATTAAGTAACATTGCAACTATTCCTTCATAACTGATAAAGTCAGAGTTTAGTCCGGTTGCATTACGTATCTTTCCAATATCATTACAAGCCACTGAATCAGAATAAACGGATTGAAAGAAACATTTAAACTCATTCGCAATCAGCTGTTTATCGGTTATAGTTTGATTTCCTATTTATTTAGTTAGAAGGTGTATGGCAGGATATACTCAATACCTTCGTTTTGATATATTGCCTTGTTGTAAATTTCTTTCAATCGATTGAACTGTCACTGTCTCTGAGCACTATTTATGCCCAAATAATATTTACTGTGTGGTATTACAGTGTATAAACTCATATTAAAAAGGCAAAATTTCAAGCTTGCTACTTTGTGTCTATATCGCCCCAAGAATCCAAGCAGCAGTATTATTATCGTGCAATTTTTTTCACTCATACACATGTAAGTAAGCACATCAACTGCGTCTAAATAAACCAAACTTGATAATATTATTTGTCATTCTGAAATTTCTTTCCACATAGTGAACGTTTATAGAATTGAAAAGCTTAAAGTATACTCGTTTTACACTTCGACGGGTTTTAACAAAAACAATTCTTGTGTCCATCTTTCTGTGAGAGATGTAAGCGAGGTAGAAAAATTGTGTGACAGTGTAATTCAGGTATGTTACTGCATCAGCAATTATATCAATTAGGGAAGATGAGAGTCATAAAACGCGTTGTTTTCTGAAATTACATATTTTTGTTGTTATTTGGTTTCACAAGAATATTTCTTCTGCTCTCCCGACAAAAAACCAGGACATTGTGAATAAACCGAGAGTACGTTAAAATCGCTTTTCAAGTAAACAAGGTGATAGTAAGAACTATAAAGCGCTCAATTCGCCGAATATCCTGTAAATTGTCACTAAACTGCTTGTGATTGTATTTCGCATGAGAAGTTAACTAAAGCAACATGCTCAAAAGAAGCATGGCGGCCAAGATATCATAAAAGAAGAAATTGCCTTACAAACACATCTTTTGCGCATAGATGAGCTCTCACCTACATAGTTAAAATGCCTTTTTTTCTCACGATTTGTTTTTGGGCAGCTTCGTGTGTTGTTTGTACATGTGATAGTCCGATGAGGATGAAATTTTGTCCGCATAGTTCTAACGTAATAAGGGTGCAGTTAATTTCTTTAAAAATAGATATCGCCATTATAAACAATAATTTAAACCAAAAGTAAGCAATTAGTTCGTACTCAGGATTGTAAGAAATTTCACATTACAACTTTTTTTCAATAAATAGGTTGAGGTAAAGAGGAGCAATTTAAGCAAGTCATATTTCAGAGCGAAGAAAAAAAGGAGGAGCATAAAAAGTGTGTCTAAAATGAATTATACTTTAGGCGATGTCAAGCAACAAAACAAAAACTGTGCAGCTTACTAATAAACTAAATGTATATTGAAATCAGCAAACAGGCCAATATATACTGTGGAAATTTCATTCGCTTAGGCTAAGTATTAGTGCCTTTTTTTAACCGCATTTATAATTAGGTGCAATACACATGCCTGCAATATGCGATAAAATACGCAACAGTGAAGTTCTTTGCAGATATTTTTGTACTTGAGAAATATATATGTAGATACTAAATTTTAAAGCATTATATTACGCTCTTTTGTGCAAAGAAAACTTATTGCTTCGTTTATAACCTTGATGAATTCTATAAGGTTAGCTATTGCAAGTCGCTGAATAGAACTTCAAATGGCCTGTCTTGAATAACGTCATTGCTCTTTGAACTGCATACACAAAAGCAACTGGTCACCGTGTTAATTCGTTTACAAATGAACACGTTGCTTTATTACTACAGTTAGAGAAAACTGACTATCATTTATGAAACAAATTAAAAGGCATTAGCTTGCTCTGAATATATTTCGAATCAATGTAAGCCTTCCATAGATTTCTTCAACAATTTGTTTCATTCCCGTGATTAAGATTCATCTAAGTGGTATAAACATAATAAATAATACAAACGTTTGCCTTTCCTGCTGCTACTAGGAACGCCCCCATCCACAACTGCTACTCCGAATGGTGAGAATATCACACAACATTACCACAGTATGCTTTTGTCTGTGACAAGCTTTTAAAAGTGGATATGCAACTGGGCACTTCGATGTATATAAATGTTCAAACTCCAAACTTTGAGAGCGATTTGGCATATTCCTTGATTAGGTACCAGTAGTAAACTTGTCACATAAACACCAGCATTGTAGGAAGTGAAGGCAGTCAGATGCAGGTTAGTGAGATCCGCCACGTCGTTACCTTGTGAAGAGCATCACCTAAAACTGTTGGTTCTTTTCTATGCTTTTAGTAACAATCCTTCCAACTAACTAACCATGCTGACACTAGTGAAATTAACGAACTGATCATTTACGCTTGTTTGATTTATGTGTGCAGTGTGCATTGTCATGTCAACCTGATTTAATTTAAAAATATATAAGATGAAGTGAAAAAGTAAAACGCCACAGAGTCATCCTCTTACGCTAATCTAAAATAGTTATTCTTCACATAAATGTAATACATCACAACACACACGTAGGCAAGATTAGACCAAAAAGAAACGCTTACAGAGTTTCGAGTATCAAAACATACGAGACTTCCTTCTTTCGTTCTGCATCTACTTTAAGTGCACCTAGACGACTGTTTTGATACTTACTTCAGACCAACACGCACCGCACCAGTTAGCAGTTGCAGAATATTTCGTGAAAAGTATCTCGCACTCTGCTTTGGGAGCCATTGAGCAACACACTGCTGTTATGCTAACGTAATCGAGAAAATGCACTGTAAATCTTGTATGAGGTAGTTGAAATTACTAATTAATACACCATGGCATGAACGAAGCACCTGAACACATCCGTGGCTTAGCAGTTACCTAACGTAAACGCCAACAAGCCCCGAAGTTACTAACGATGAAATTCGCGGGCCTTACTAGCTGCTGTGTAGGTAATCCGGTAATAGCTGTGTGAAGAAGAAGATGTGCCTGCAGCGAGCAGCATCGCCAACGCCCGGCTCTCTCGGCTCGTGCTTCGGTTCGTTGCTGTGCCGATCGCTGGACGGTTGTTCACGCTGTCTCGTCGCTGTCTTAAACGACTCATAAACCTCTTCACATTTGGTGGAAGGTGCTGTTAATCCCCGTCGCTACACCCTGGAGCTGCGAAGCCGCACGCTACCACCTGTCATGACTGCCAACGCCACTACATCGACGCCTCCGCTCCAGTTCAACTTCCCTGGCCATCCTACGCTACGGGAGCCGAAGGTCTTCAGCGGTGCAATGGGACCGACGTCGAAGACTGGCTCGAGCACTACGAACTGGTGAGCGCCAACAATAAATGGGATGAAGCCGACAAGCTGGGCCACGTGATATTTTATCTCACTGGCGTCGCCGAATTGTGGTTTAATAACCACAAACACAACATCCCCACATGGAGCGTCTTCAAGACGTCATGTGCTGAAGTGTTCGGTCGGCCGGCTGTCCGCAAGCACAGGGCAGAACAGCGCCTGCGCGTCCGTTCTCAGCAGACTGGCGAGACCTTTACCAGCTATATTGAGGACGTCGTCGACCTTTGTCGACGTGTGAATGACACCATGCCCGAATCTGACAAGGTGAAAAACATCATGAAGGGCATCGACGACGGCGCATTTCAAATGCTCTTGGCAAGGAATCCGAGCACAGTTTCTGAAGTCGTCAGCTTGTGTCAGAGCTACGACGAGTTGAAAAAGCAACGCGCTCTGACTAGGCAGCCTAAGCCTGGTGGTGAGTCGCTGTCCAGTTTCGACTCCATGCCGGACAATTCACCATTGCTCCAGCGAGTCCGAGCCTTCGTCCGTGAGGAAGTCGCCCGCCAACTTTCCCTAGTGCCCTTTACTCACGAGACCACCACCCGTCTACCTGCCCCGCTTCGCACTGCTATATCGGAAGAGGTTGCACAAGCTGTTCCTCTTGCGCACTACGAGCCACCTCTACCTAGCCGTGGTCCCTGCCCGGGTGGCGCACAGCCGGTAGGCGCTCCTGTCGCCTATCCACCAGCCGTTCAGCCTGTGGCCGCGCCCCTAACGTATGCAGCGCAGCCTGTGGCTCCTCCTGTCGCCTTTTCGCAAGAGATGCAGCCCGTAGCCGCGCCACTCACATATGCAGACGCTGTACGTAGGCTCCCGCAACCACCCTACACCACGCGCTCACAGCCCGCACACCCGGCTGCTTATACTGCACCTTGGGCGGCAGCACCAGTCGCCAATCCCTGGAGGACGCCCGATAACCGACCGATTTGCTACGCTTGCTTCACTCCCGGACACGTTGCTCGCTACTGCCGCCGTCGACCTCAGACGTTCGGCAACTATGCCCGGTCGTCGCATTCCGGCAGCCAACCCTTTGTCCAATACGGGCCCGTCTCGCCACCTCGCTATGCGCCTACTGACCACCTTGACTTCCAGCCGCAACGCGCACCCTCTCCTCGTCGGCGATCACCCTCCCCCATGCGTCGCCGGCCCGGACCCTCCGACCAGGAAAACTAAGCAACGCAGTTCAAGAGGCAAGAACTGCGCCGTTTTCGAACTGTCTAAGCCCTCGCTCCTCTCCTGCTAACGTGGTCGCAGTAACTGTTGAAGGTTATTGTACTTTCGCCCTTGTGGACACTGGCGCCGCTGTTTCTGTTATTGCCGCTAATCTCTGCCGTTTATTACGCAAAGTAACGACGCCGCTTTCCGGACTGTCGCTTCACACCGCAAGCGCACAGCAGGTAACGCCTCTCGCAGCCTGTACTGCAAGAATCTCCATCGAAGGCATTCTTTACATCGTGGAGTTTATTGTTCTTCCTGTCTGTTCGCATGACGTCATCCTCGGGTGGGACTTCCTATCCCGCCACAATGCCGTCATAGACTGCGCACGCGCCGAAGTTGAGTTTTCACCCTTGTGTGATGTCCCATTACTGGACGCTCCTCATCAGCCGCTGAAGTTGCTCGTTCATGAAGATACCGATATTCCGCCTGAAAATTGCGCCCTTGTTCCCGTTTCATGCAACGCCTACACTGACGCTACAGTTCTTTTTATGCCTTCCGATATCTTCAAATGTCGTCGAGCTTTGCCGCTGCCTTTCGCAACAATTGACCTTGCCGCCGGAAGAAGCAACATGTTCGTAAGCAATCCGCTTTCCACACCTGTCACATTGCTTGCGGGGGAATGTCTCGGCCGCGTGCAGGATCTCGACCCTTCGTTTTTGTTTGATGTCCCGGACGACTACTGCGACCACCCAAAAGCACTGTCGGCACTCGGGGAGTCATCCAATGATACGTTTTCCAGCGTTATCGCCGACACTCTCACTCCCACCGAACATGCCGACCTGCTGGATCTTCTGCATGAGTTCAGGAGTTCGTTCGATGTGTCGCAACCTCAACTGGGCCGCACATCACAAGTCAAACATCATGTTGACACCGGCCTACACCAGCCACTGCGTCAAAGACCACACCGTGTCTCCGCTGAAGAGCGCCGCGTCATAAACGATCAAGTCGAAGATATGCTTCGTAGAGACGTCATTCGACCATCTCACAGTCCCTGGGCGTCTCCCGTCGTCCTGGTGCGTAAGAAAGACGGATCTATTCGATTTTGCGTGGACTATCGTCGTTTGAATAAGATAACCCGCAAGGACGTCTATCCTTTGCCGCGCATTGATGACGCCATTGACACCCTTCACGGAGCGGAATTTTTCTCGTCGCTAGATTTGCGGTCTGGCTACTGGCAGGTCCCAATGGCAGAAGCCGATCGCCAAAAAACGGCATTTATTACACCAGACGGACTATATGAATTTAACGTCATGCCCTTTGGGCTTTGTAACGCGCCTGCCACGTTTGAACGTCTTATGGATAATACGCTACGTGGCCTCAAATGGAATATGTGCCTCTGTTACCTCGACGATGTCGTGGTTTTCTCCCATGACTTTCCTACGCACCTCCTTCGCCTCAGGCACGTTTTGAGTTGCCTGACCAACGCTGGTCTCCAGCTTAACCTGAAAAAATGCCGCTTCGCTGCACGCGAGCTCGTCATCCTAGGCCACATCGTGTCCAAGCACGGCGTATTACCAGACCCAGCAAAACTTCGAGCAGTCGCAGAATTTCCCAAGCCGACGACCATGAAAGAACTTCGCAGTTTTGTAGGCCTATGCTCTTATTTCCGGCGCTTTGTTCGCAATTTTGCATCTGTCATGTCACCGTTAACCCAGCTTCTTCGCGGTGACGTGAACCTCACCTCCTGGTCCCCTGCATGTGACGTTGCCTTCACTACTCTGCGCCGTCTGCTCACTTCCCCACCTATTCTTCGCCACTTCGACCCGACGGCTCCTACCGAAGTGCACACCGACGCCAGCGGCGTCGGGCTAGGCGCGGTCCTCGCTCAACGAAAGCCCGGCTATTCAGAATACGTTGTAGCCTACGCTAGCCGCACTCTGACGAAAGCCGAAACTAATTACAGCGTGACAGAAAAAGAGTGTTTGGCTCTGGTGTGGGCGCTTGGAAAGTTCCGGCCGTACTTATACGGCCGCCCGTTCGATCTAGTAACTGATCACCACGCGCTTTGCTGGCTCTCCACGTTGAAAGACCCTTCTGGCCACCTTGCGCGATGGGCACTCCGCATCCAGGAGTACGACATTCGCGTCGTATACCGCTGCGGACGCAAACACTCTGACGCTGATGCTCTGTCCCGCTCACCTTTACCACCAGACCAGACGTGCGGAAACACTTGCCTCCAGACCTTGTCATCACTAAATCTCGACTCGATTGCCACCGAACAACGTCGTGACCCGTGGATCGCCTCTCTTATCGAATATTTATTTGGCACGCCCAACCTTCCAGTATCTCGATCCCTCCGACGTCAAGCTTTCCATTTCGCCATCCGCGATCAACTTCTTCATCGACGCAACTACGCTCCCGATGGCCGCCGGTGGTTGCTGGTCATTCCACGCACTTTACGATCGCAAGTATGTGCCTCCCTTCACGACGATCCGCAATGTGGCCACGCCGGAGTGTTCAAAACATATGAACGCCTTCGCCATCGCTACTACTGGCGCGGCATGTACAATTTTGTACGTAAATTCGTGCAGTGCTGTCCTGACTGCCAGCGACGGAAATCAACACTGCCACGTGCGACTGGCGCATTGCAGCCACTTCTATGCCCTGCCAAGCCATTTGATCGCGTCGGCGTTGACCTCTACGGTCCCCTTCCATTGACACCAGATGGTAATCGGTGGATTATAGTGGCGGTTGACCACCTGACACGCTACGCCGAAACAGCCGCTTTTCCGAGCGCTACAGCTCAGGATGTCGCCTCTTTCATTTTGCAACGCTTTATCCTTCGACATGGTGCACCTCGAGAGCTCCTTAGTGACAGAGGCCGCGCTTTCCTTTCCGAGGTCGTCGAAACTCTGCTTTCGGAATGCCACGTCATTCATCGGAAAACAACAGCATACCACCCGCAGACTAACGGACTAACGGAACGGTTCAACCGCACGCTAGGTGATATGCTCTCAATGTACGTGGCATCTGATCATAGCAACTGGGACCGTGTTCTCCCATACGTCACGTTCGCGTATAACACCGCAATACAAACCACCACGGGATTCTCACCTTTCTTTCTTCTTTACGGACGCGAGCCTTCCCATACAATTGATACCCTACTTCCTTACCGTCCTGATGCTTCCGAGTGTCCACCTATCTCCGATGCTGCTAGACAAGCCGAAGAGTGCCGCCAGCTCGCCCGTGCGTTCACCTCGGAAGAGCAACAACGCCAGAAAGAAACCCGTAGCACCTCTCTTCCGGATCCCATCTATGCCCCAGGGTCTCTTGTGTGGCTTGCCATCCCACACCAAACACCGGGACTCTCCTCGAAACTTGTCCCCCGATACGAGGGGCCTTACACCGTTTTGGAGAAAACATCTCCGGTTAATTTTCTAATTGAACCAGTTTCCCGATCGGACGACATGCGCCGGCGTTCACGTGACATCGTCCATGTTTCCCGACTGAAACCGTACCATGAGCCTCTGCCTGAAACTTCTTAAGTCGCCAGGATGGCTCCTTTTTCAGCGGGGGCGATTGTGATGAAGAAGATGTGCCTGCAGCGAGCAGCATCGCCAACGCCCGGCTCTCTCGGCTCGTGCTTCGGTTCGTTGCTGTGCCGATCGCTGGACGGTTGTTCACGCTGTCTCGTCGCTGTCTTAAACGACTCATAAACCTCTTCACAGCTGCTTTAACAGCAAATCGCTAAACTCACGTACTTACTAACCATTTAGTCACTTTCTTCACGGATTGTAGGCCCTACACAATAATTTGTTTCTTCGTGAAAAGCAGAATGCAAGAAAATGTCAGCTCATGGAGCGAAACGCAACCACTGGTAGAAGTCGAGATTCATCTTTGATATCGTGTAGAAACCTCATTTTTTCTTCATTGAGACTCTGCAATCCAGAACTTTTAAATAAAAGTCGCAAAAAAGCAGTCACTGCAATAAAACAGTAACCACGGTTCTTACTACCTTTCACGGGTTATTACTAGCTTCTTTCTGTTTGGCTACTTCGCATGTACGTTAGCAAGCTGCAACGACTACTGTACATACTTCTTGAGTATCTGTATTATACAATTACTTTTTGCTGCACATTTGTTGAATATTAACGAAAATATATCCCCAAGTGTGTTGGCGATGTAGAAATACGAACATAATACACAGCTATCACGAACTAATGATGTAGAAAGCCAGTAGCAGAATGCCCTTAAATCGTTATGATTGCGCTATATTGGGATAATAAAGGTACACTCATCTGAGATAATCAGACATTTTTCATTGGAAAACTTATTTTGACATTACTGTAAAGCTCTCAAACTACTCCTCTCACATATTATGCGCGTTACCATTTTTTAGTAATTGTGGTGCTCCTGGTGGTAACATTTTAGCTAACAATATTGAATGTGAGACTTGAAAGCATACGACCATTTCTATTGGGTGAGAGAAGTGGCCACAACGTGTGGCACTTCCACAGTCCACAGGGTGATCGAAACTCATCCCCACAATAACTTCGTCGTCTTCTTCCCTTTGGCGTCATTTCAACGGCTCTGCCGGAGGAGTATTTCGATACATGTGACAATATTTGCACGCAGTTTTACAACTTAGGTAGCTAAATACATTTTGCGTGATCTTATGGGACGATATTGCAATACGTGTTTTGTGTAGTGAGATCTGTACAATTAGAACGCGTGAAGTTTCATATACAATAGAGTTATGCACTAACGAAAAAGCATGTCATTCATTGTCTTAAAGGCTATGTTAAGCAAACGTATATTATATATAGGTGCATAAAGATGGGTTCCGCCTAGTGACACAGCCGTATGACTGCCGTTGATATATATATATATATATATATATATATATATATATATATATATATATACTGCTTGTTGACTACAGAATATTAGAGTGCAGAATTATGTTCGATTACTGATTTTCCCATGTGACAAAGTAAAATACCAATGCATCTGTCTTTCCTCCTTACCACGACAGAAACCACCTCCGCAACAGCAACTACCAAAAGAGGTGAGAATAAACATTTTCTCTTTTGAACTTCACTCCCCGTAACACGAGTATTTTTCATCGTGCTTTATTGTTTATTTGTAAGACCGATACTAGGAAAAATAAAGATGTACATACCTCGATTGAATCAACTGTTTCAGAGAATCATTTATTTGTAACTTTTTAAAACAGCTAAAATGCGTGATTGTTATTGCGCGTGAGAGGAAACGAGCGAGAACATTGATTTGTTCATCTTAATTAACTTAAATAGGGAAAATATTGATAGGTAAGTGGTTAATGTGACACGAATTTGCACTCACTTTGATTTTATTGGCAATTCCGTGGTTCCAACATTTCAAATATTACACATTTTCGGCCTCATTTTATATTTATAGTTGTGAACTTTTTATCAAGAGCGCTCTATGTGTCTTTGCAAATAGGCACAAGTGTCTTCGTTTGCGATCTTAGTGCCTGCGTATTTTCGGAATTAACACCGTGAACAAATTGCAATTTTATACAAGTGCATATTAAGCAAAAAAGAGATGCCTTAACGAACTACTATTGCTTAAGCAGAGCGTGCAGACATGCCGTGCTAATTAGAACTCACCAAAAGTGCCCGTGAACCGCTAGGCAAAAGAGCTCTCAGCATTATTAGTTTTTATTGAGGCTGATTTGGTTAAAAACGAGCAATTTCTAATAGCAGTCTGATGCCTCTGTGTTATCAAAGGTCCGTTACGTACCTCTAATCTCAACGCATCAAAATATGCCCTTGCGTCTAGCTGCGTCATGCCATTATTGACGTTCTCACTGTTGGGCCAACGAATATTTAATTCCTTGTCTTGAAACGAATGGAAAGAGCAAAAGGCAGTCCAAGCCAATAATGAGTCATGGTGTCAGTGGGCGGGGATTGTGAAAACAATGATAGTAGAGTAATTGGTGATGTATGCACTCATGCTGCAAAACACTTATCGAAAAATATATTCCACCATTGGTGAGATGGACATCTGGCGTCGTGGTGGGGGTTCGAATTTTGTTAGTCCTTTCGAAAAAAATGCAGTAATCACAGAAAGAATGAGTACCCTTGTAATTCAGGGCGCTAATATTATTATGCCGATACAGAGAAAAGTTGGTTTGAGCAATAAGATGCGGGTAAGTCGGTCGTGTCAAGAGTGGATATGACAGAAAAAATGCAGTAACACCTCCGAGTGCTGCACCATTCGTTTTTGCTGTTGAAAGTGTGTGGCGAAGCACGGCACATCGGAGAGAAGTGATGCTAGAGGTAGGGTGTAGGAGTGTGACCGTGATGTGAAAGACGAGGTGTAGGAGCGAGTTGCTGTGTGAAATTGGAACTGTTACTGCTTTCTTTATTTTAAGCTTTAGTCATTTTGATACGAGAGCTACTTTTGCAAAATAAGTATTCTTCCAGTAAATTGTTTGTTTCATCCTTCCGAAGAAAAATTCTTTAAATACGACAAATACCTGTAAGAGCGTTTGTTCCTTTGCTAATCAGCATCCCTGTTTACCTGATCACTTTCTTACTTCCTCTCGAAGGCACTATACCGGAAGACCAAAGTAAATACGGTAAGCAATGTTGAACCTTTTTATTTGGTATATGGTGACGTCTTGGAAAATCAAATTTCTAATTTGTATGGAGACTTCACATCTGCCATTATGTAGTTTGTTGAGCTATCTAATTGTTTCGTTTATCGCCTGTGGAACTCTTGATTTTAGGGTGTAAGTTTGAATCACACGAAAATGATGGTGGTGGGTTGCAAGAAACTGACTGCCAAATTCAAAAAGACGTGCTTAAAACCGTCGCGAAACTCTGAAAAAGAATTCACACAAACAGCCAAAATACATGTATAAATATTTTTAGTAGGGTGAATCATAGAGAGTATTGCTTTGCTTTATTAATCATTGTATTTGATTAGGTTATTAAAGCTCCAGGTACACCAACGCTGCTACTTATAAAACGCATCTGTGCACATTACAAATTCAAAATAAAAACACTTGAATGTTTCGTACATCATTATGCAGCTAAATTTGTATACTTCTATGCATATATGAAGCGTTGTTTTGGGAATACTACAGCTAGCTTAAAACATAAGTCATCCCACTGACTTGTTAGACCATAATTGGAGTAAATGGAGATATGTAAACTTGGAACAGAATGACATCGCCTTGCGTGAGCTATACGCGTTAGTGTGTTAGCACAGGACTACAGCCTACCCATTACACACGTTACCAACAGCGGGGTGCTTTCAACTGAATTATTCTGAATGTTTTACCTAATATAGTTATCAGAACATACAGATGAGGAGCATGCATTCCAGTAGCAGTGACATGCATTTGGTACAAAAAAGTAAAGCTAAACGAAGAGGCGGACTGTTTGGTACTAAATCGTAATGCTATAAAAGGGGTTCGAAAAGACAAAGAGAAGAAAGTGAACATCACCAACTTGTGGTGGTGACGCATTGCTGAAAATTTAGGGCAAATTCACCTTATAATCGGCCAATCCCCTTCTTTGGGTTCGAGCCATTTGCACAGGGAAACAACAAAAACAACAACTTTCTTGTTTTCATCTTTTTGCGCTATTTTTGTATCATTATGAATCGGTACAGTAATTGCATGCTTATCAAAGCGGTAAATGGCAGAGTTCTTATGATGGCAACTATTTGAGATAAGTGAGTGGAGTAAATTAAAAAAAAAAATGTTAAGTTAGTGGACATTTGAAGCACAGTTATTGGGAGAGAGTAGGAACAGTGTGGATTATGTTGGTGTCTGAGGATGTTCTGCATTTCTCCTGTTATCTTTATTTAAACGAATTCAAATATTGTACTAGCAAAATACGTGTACGACGTACAAGTGTAATGTAGTTGCATAACTGAAGCTGAGTGGAATTTCAGGATATTACTCAGAGAATGGCTGCCTCCACAGGGTGCTGCTATCACATGGGCGTATGGTAAGCCAATGTGTTATTAAAAATACTGATCAATTCTTCCCATGCCAAATTCTTCCCTGAGCTCAGTGTCACTGTTTTTAATGTTTCAGTACCATGCAACCTGCACATTCTTGTGTCAGTGGTCTCGGCGTCTTCATCGAGTTTACGACGGGAAACCCTGCTTGAGGGTAAATTATATCTCATAAACTCCTACGTCATTTATATTACAAAACGTTGTCACTTGACGATTAGTTGCACTTGCGCATGATGGAATCATCATGACTGCTGATGCAAAACATTATCACGTAATACTGTGCCAGCGCATTTAAGAGCTTCTTAATTTATGTACCCCAATTCATAGTTACATTTTGATATAGAACAAAAGAAAGGCGATGACTGAATCGCTTCAATTTACCTTTAAAAGAACGGGACAAATAATTTAGAAAGCGATGGCGGAAAGTTTCTGGCGTTTTTTTCTTCAATGGTTCTTATTATATAAAATACAAAAATTTGCAGTAAGGGGTTTTTTTTTTGGAAAAGAAACCTGCAGTTTTTCCTGAATATAGGTGGTACCCTTATAACATGACTCATTATCAAAAACATATGAATATGAGTAGTCTAGTTTCTTTTTTCAGTATAATTAAGCACAAAAATTGTACAGTTAAGTGCAAGTCAGCATGCAATAATACAAAAATTGCATTTACATTACTAAATACTTATGAATGTTCAGGAATATCTTACGTTTTATATCGCATCAAGAAATCGCTATTCATTTTAAAAGGTATACTGTTTTTTGAGCAATAAAAACATGTGAAGTGGTTCTCAGGTGGTGCTCACCAAGAGAAGTTCTTCGCAGAAATATTTCATATTTATTTAATACTCGAAGTGCAACACCGCCTTTTTGCTTCGAAAAATTGCTGTTATGGTGCTCAACTGATACAATGTAAACACTGCCGCAGTCATACATACATATTATTGTGTGTGCAAAGAAAAGTTCTTTCGAAAATGAGGATAATGAACTCGTGCATTAAGGAGCTCTATCAAATTCATTTTGCCTATCAAGAAATACATTTTAATAGATGTTTGATATTGCTGTCCCACATGCTTGCGTAAGCCATGTACCTTGTTTCTCGCTTTCAGCTATTGGAAAACAGATTTCAAGAGCGGCAGTACACTCGCAGTAAGGTTTGTCGCACGGGACACTGCCTGAGGGGTATTTGCGTACCTAACGGCTACGTACAACAGTGTGAAATACCAAACAATGGCCCCCGCCTGCCTCAGCGTCCCCCGCAAGGTCCTTACGAATAAACTTTTTTCCGTGTTATATATATATTGTCGACTGTATTTCCAATAGCATGTCGTAACTCTGTTAAGTAGATCTCGTTCGCAATGCCTTCAGTCTCCCCTTCAGAGGATGTTCAATTGTGAAGACGAGGAATGTGGTTCTGACAGCTAGAAAATGTTTTATTTTTATGAGAAATAATGGACCATCACCCCGAAGGAAACCATGGCGGGATGCGGAGCAGCAGCAGTGTGCATGCCGTTGACCCAATTGAAACTGGTGTTGACGGGGGTACTGGAAGAACGGTTTGATCTGAAATTCGGTGTAGCGTTCACTAGAGTTAACGTTTCTTTGAAACGCCAAGACATGGTAAGCGGGTGGGCTTTCGCATGACCTTCATGGCAGATAAACGAGCCGAAAGAGTGTTTTCAGTCGACGTTTGGTCGAGTGCTGCGGGTGGTGTAAAGATGAAGCGAGAGAAGTTTGTTGCGAGTGGGCGGAAAAGCAACACCCGCTAGGTGTGTTGGGAGGAGCCTGCAGCTTCTGCGGGTGATAAAGAGATTGACGTCAACGCGCAGCTGTGAATTGATCTATTTGTTATCTGTAGCGAGTGAGAGTGAGGACGAGAGAGAGTGTGAGACGACGTCGAAGGGGGCCGACGGGGCCGTGCGGATCTCGTCCCTTTATTTCAAGGCTGAAGCGGAGCGGCGACGGCTGCCAGCGTCCGACAAGCCAGGCGCGTGAACTCGTTCTGTTCGCTCGCGCTGCTCGTGGCACGGTGGCTAGAAGTGATGCGGATGATGAATAGAATGAGGAGGACGCTACAGTATCGTTCCAACACCTGTGGCGTGGAGAACGCGGTGTGGTGCGTTGCGCCAGAGACACGGCCGGACAGCGTTACACACGCTAGTGAAAGAGGCGCTTCGCATCTAAAAAATATATTTTATTAAAACAGGCATCCTGACTGTAATGACTATGGACCACAAATACTAAATAACCTTGGAAACCCAGTTTCAAAATTGAAAAAAAAAGCAAACACAGTGAGAATGTACAGCTAACTGCATGGTCCCGGTGATCAGTAAAAGGAAGTCATTATTTGACATTAGAGCGGTGAAAACACCGAAGTCTACGAGGATAGGAAGACTATAAACTAAAGCCATAGAAAATTAATCTAAAAAGTCGTGGCATATCCAAGAAGTGAATGATAATTAGTGGGCGCAGCATTGCAATCGTTCGGTGCTGCAGTAACTCACCCGTGGCATTGACTACTCATGCACGTAAATGAGTGTGGAGAGGTGTGTTGTTGTAGGTAAATTTTATACGTCATAACTGGTATGATCTGTTGCCTTGTTATTATCGTTTTGCCGCCTATATTACTGGTTTGCGGCATCATATTTAGCCAGAAGCTGGCAAAAACTAGGTTTGGGTACGTTCCTCTGGTGTCTGTTGGTTGTTTCCAATCAAACGAACTGCACCGTTGGGGTTACTGAAACGTCATCTACTGCGCAAGCCAGTCGTTGTTCACCATTATCATCGACATTATCATCATAGTCATCAGCGTCCCCGTCATTCTCATGATTTAAAGTGGGTAGCTTGCATACGATGTGCCGTAATGACAAAAAAAAAAATGTGTGGTCTGCAACGCACTTGGTCTTGATCGTCATGGGTGTCATCGTTAACGTCAACATCAGCGACGGTTACGGCCAACAAAGCCGACAACGACCAATTCACGACCTTAAAGAGCTTGGCCCCTAAAACCAAGCATAGCTAGACTAGAACTCTGGACAATGTACTTTCAAAAAACCTTCCATCAATGTGACACACAACAACATTTGAAAACCACTACCATCCAACTTATTTGTTTCGTAAATAAAGTTTTGTTAAAACTGAACAAATTATAAACAAATTACATGTGGGTAGGATGTGAGGATGACAAGACACGCCTGAAAAAGACCAACTAGATTGCCAGTCTCAGTGTCAGCTAAAAAGCCTCAAGGCTTGCTTATGTGCTCTTAGCCCGGTTTTTACATGAAAACGATCTTTAACAAAGTGACATTCGCTGCTGTTTTTTGCTCTCTTGAATAACTTTGAGCTGTGAAAATTTGGCATGAACCCACAATGCTTCGAGCGTTCAACTGATAGGCTGCCACTTTAATTGCGTACACTTAAATTACAATCATTTGTTCTTTAATTGCAACATTTACTCGTTAGCTCTTTGTAATAGTGTATCTGTGTCTGCAGTCGTCTACAAGTTGCACTGCACTGTTCGAATGCGCAGGGACACTCCCAAATCGAGATATTTTTGGCAACTTCTCAAACGCATAAAAACGCAAAATGTCTTCAAAATACAATATATTAGAGGAATGTATTGAATTTCAGGTAGAAAACGTTACAGTGGGATTTAATTTTACAGCGAAAGCTGTTTTTTGATCACAACTTGGGTGACGCGCCACCGTATAGTTGCCCGCCGCCGCCGCAAGCGCTGCTGCCGCCTCCACCGGTGTCCGTAACCACATCACACGAAATAAAAAAAAAACGTAGTGCCAGTGACACAGTGAGGCTCGAACGAGGGTTCACTGGGTGCTAGTACAGTACTTTACACCTGAGCTACGCTGGTGCTTCAGAGTTCTTCGCGAACTTGCCTTAGGCAGCCTTGATGTCGGGAAAGGAGTCGGGTTAATACGACCTATAAGCCGTTTTAAAACAGCGAAAGAGGAAGCAGTCGTCACACAATGCGAATAGTGTAACGACTGGGTCGTCCAATGCTCTTACCTAATACAAAAGCTTGTTCTTGTTTCATTATTAACTGTGGCGCATACTTACTTCAGCCATAATTCCTTATCGTGGTCAGCCACTGCATGAACGATTCGCACGAAATTCCTCGCAATAGTTTAGCGGATACCACGCTTTTCAGAAGAATGGCGAAAAAATAGCACAGCAAATACCGGCCTACTTCCCTAAAGTTTCATTAGTATTTTTTTTTTGTTGCCGTAGTCGGTATCAAGCAAGTGTGCTTGAAGCAGTTATGAAATGAGTGTTTAGAAAAGGCTTTGAAAGGATTGACGATTTGTGCCTAATGTGGGTGCTCGCCGCAGTTAATAGGTGAACAAGAACAAGTTTTTGTAATGGGTTCTTGCATTGGATGACCCACTCGTTACGCTATTCACATTGTGCTATGATTGCTTGTTCTTTTGCTGTTTTAAAACGCCTTAGGTTGCAATAACGCGATTACTTCCCGGGCATCAAGCCCGCCTAAATCAATTTCAAAGATTTGATGTTGCTCGTTACATAGGAGCACGTATTAGGCCTCGAAATAGACGCACCTTAAACTGAAAACAGCCAACAAGTCAACCTTTACTCCACGAAAAACGCCACGAAATTTCTTAAGAAATCCCAGACCTTTACTGTAATGTTGTTCTTGTAACGGACGCAAGAAACATAACGTCGACATTCGAAAAGTATCATGAAAGTTTATTTCGTGCTCCCTCAAACCCTGATGTCAAACTTACCACGAGTTTTGTTGCCCTTTGAGCCCCATTTGAAGACGATGATTGTGCAGCCATTAGTGGTCCTATTACGATACAGGAAATTGAGCACTCTATCAACAGCTAACCTTCATCTAAGTCACCAGGCCCCGACAGCATTTCTGCTGAATTTTACAAAACTTTTAATTATTCTCTCTCTCTCCTATACTGCTGGATATCTTTAAAATAAGGTATGACAAGGAGACGCTCCCTAGATCCTTTTGCAAGAGCCACACAGTTTTGATACAAAAAATTCGGACAAGAAAAGCTTCGCTCTGTTCAGGGTTACCAGCCAATGGCGCTGTTAAACGTTGACTACAAAATTTTCGCCAAAGCATTAAATCTGCTGCAATTGGCAACGTCTATTCTCGTTGAATCCCACCAAACATGTGGAATTAAGGGCTGATCTATAAAAAGCAATATACATGTCACTCGTACTGTCCTTCAGTAATGTTATGAACATCAAAAACACCTTGCGATGTTACAGGTAGACTTTGCAAAAGCCTTCCATCGTGTTAGCCATTCGTTTCTTTTCTCTCTTCTGGAACATGCCAATGTTGGCGCTGTTGTGCTTAAAGGCGTCAAACTATGCTATAATCAATGTTCGACCCGTCTTGTTGTCAATGGTCACCTGTCCAAACCAGTTTCGATTTCTTGCTATGTAAAGCAGGGCTTCCCCATGCTACCACTTCTCTTTGCCTTTATCTAGAGCTGCTATGCTTAAGTATATTACGATCTAGTGGTATTCGTGGATTCGATATTTTAGAAACTGAAATGAAAGCATAAGCTTATTCAGATGATGTACCAGTCTTCTGCACAGATAAATCAAGCATCAAAGTTGTGTTATCAGTAATAGACAAATTTCGCATAGTTATCAGGAGCTCGTTTGAACGCCTCGAAGAGTTTAGGATCATGATTTAGCTCTAAGGTTAGCAAACGTAGTCAATAAGCAGGAATTTAATTGGACAAGAACACCACCAACGTACCTATGTGTACCGATAGATGGGTTATATGCAGTGAACGTTCCTGGATGGAGCGCGTCCCTAAGCTTGAACTACAAGCCCAGACATTTCTTCCCCATCGCCTATCAATATTTGGGAGAGCTGAAGATTGTAATACTTTTCTAGCAACAAAGCTCTACTAGGTATTGCAACTTATTCATTGTGCAAGATTTTATGTACAACAATTTCATCAGATTTTCCCAACTTTCATATGGTCTTCTAGTTTTGAGCCCATGCGTCGTGACATTTTCCGGCCAGTTGGTGCTTGTGGGTTAGGATTAAAACATCTGTATCTATGGCAAACAGTTTTTGGATTTTTCTTATTCGGTGACAATTTCCCATACCGTAATTTGTTTTGCTCATTTTTGCAGGTTAATCTCATGGATTGCTTCCCTGACCTAGTCATTTCTTCAAACTTTCCCGAACGGCCCTGTTCGTAGGGATTCATGCAGGAAGTTTATTCTGCAGTTAGGTACCTTATATAGCTCGTTTTTCTATAGA